CCCTAATATTGCCTCAAATTTCAATTTTCCACAAACTTTTTCCTCTAAGTGGAAACACTTACAAGCATGATCCAATAAAAAAGTTTAGGGTCGGGATTTCGACGTCCAAAAGCTAGGTAGGGTCGGGTAACCGAAAACCCACGTATTTTTTTTTTTTTTTTTGCCTAATGCATCAGTAAGGCCTGTTTTATACGTCAAATTTCGGTCGCGTCGAATGCAATTAAGACAATATAGATATAATGAGATGATAAACCTCATTAAGCTTCATGCATCATCTATTGTTTGAATTGCATTCGACGCGACCGAAATTCGACGTATAAAACAGGTCTAAATTATGGTTCAGGTCGTATACTTCTATCATGTTATACGAAGGCGACTTAGGTTTTATATTGGTAATTAAATCTTACGGCTTACTGCAGCAAAAAATGATGGGAAAATGTTGTTTATCAATCTTTGATTTCATTTGCAAAAATGTGTCAAATTTTTTTTATATTGGAAATTTGACCAGCCTATGAATCGGTTGGTCACATGTCCGGTCGTAAAAAGCTTTGATCGGACAAAAGGTAAAATTTAGCCGGGCAATGTCCGATGACCAGCACTTATTTGCAGGCCTGAACCAGGTATACTGTATCCTGCGAAGAATGCAGAGCCAGATGGCCCATAGATGCATTTTTCACAGCTGCTTACTCCTGGTATGAAAATGTGTAAAATTTACACTAAAAGTTTCCGCCTACAAAAACTGTTCAATTTAATGTATAAGGGATATCTCTGCTTGGCGAGTTATTCGGAAACCACGAAATCCGAATCCTGGCTGAAAATTTTTTTTCTTAATTTCTTCTCGTGACTGTTTGCGCAAAACAGAGAAATTTATACATAATAATTTCATTTTTATTGACGACAAAAAGTTTAGTAATATATTCGTAATTCTTTTTATTATCGTACTGAGAAATTTGTGACAGAACTAGTTTATATTATTAAATTGGTAGAAATAAATTTATAAATTATCTTTTGTGATTGTATTTATACTGGATAGTTCTATCAGTTCTAAACTGTTCTTCCTAGAGGTCCAGTAAGAATCGTCTCTTATTGATCCAGTGTTACTACAGGAGGAAACCTAAACTAAACTAACTTTATTTATACTGGATAGCTCTATCAGTTCTAAACTGTTCTCTCTAGCGGTCCAGTAAGGATGATCTCTTATTGATCCAGTGTTACTACAGGAGGAAACCTGAACTAAACTAACTTTATTTATACTGGATAGCTCTATCAGTTCTAAACTGTTCTTCCTACAGATCCAATAAGAATCATCTCTTATTGATCCAGTGTTACTACAGGAGGAAACCTAAACTAAACTAACTTTATTTATACTGGATAGCTCTATCAGTTCTAAACTGTTCTTCCTAGAGATCCAGTAAGGATCATCTCTTATTGACCCAGTGTTAACTACAGGTGGAAGTTGACTATAAAATTACATTTACTAGAAATATTCTTCGTAATAGAAAACTCGGTATATACGTACTGATAATGGTTAATACGAACTGTGGCGAAAGACACCAGTACATGACCTATGGGTGTTTACTGTTTGCGCGCCAATGTGCACTTGTGCTCAAGATTAAGTCGCGACATTTCGAGATGTTTTGATCAACAATGTTTGGGCGCATTTAACCTTGACGTGATCTAACAGAGATAGCATTGATTTATGACACTGAGTAGAACAACATTGCCCATTGATACTGAATACTGATCAAACCAACCGTACAATATATGGGCAGAAGAAGCTATATATCCATTTGAAACAAGCGCTATACAGGGGCAAGGGGGGAGAAAAGGGGCCCGAAATAATGACAGATAACATTCGATTTTCTGGTTCGATTATTTTCATAAAAAGATTTCAATTTTCATTCCGATACTATAGAAATTGAAAAAAAAATACTTAAAATATCGGAAATACTTTGAAATACCGGTAATGTTCCGAGCTTGGGGCTTTCTGCGCCACTCAGAACGCGAGTCGAACTGTCGACCGAAGAATCTCGCGTTTCCATAATCGGTATCAGCGACAAAATTCACGCAGAAAATTAAAACTACAATGGTCGATAATTCCATTTACGAATTCAATAACGATGTGAAAAAAATAAGCTAATTAGTATAATAACCATTAATGCCTTATCTTTTTCAAAATGTATTCCATTAAAAC